GCCTGAGTTGCTGTGCTGGTATGGATTTGGGAAACCAAGACGACAGGGATCGGGAGACACAGGGTGACTGCATCTCAAAAGAGCAGTGCCAGGAGTCTGTGCAGTATAGGAAACGCGATGGACTCTGCAACCATGGCGAGCCCCACGCCTCTGAGTAGGGGCTGCACCTCTTCCCTTGATGGAGTAAATACTGTTCTTTCCTCCCTAAAAGGTAAGACACAGTTCCCTTCTGCCAGTGGCATCTCCAGTGTTCTAAGCCAAAGCGTCGCTGAGTTGATTTTAGGAGTGGTTTTGAGAGGTGGCAGAGATCAGCCTTTCTAAAACAGGCCGTGCTGTTTTCTCCTTCAGAAGAGCAGACTGCTCCAGAGCACTGGGCCTGCCTCCCCCGCAGAGCCGCCAATCTATTCCCTGAGTCAGGTTGGGCTCTACTGCTCCCAGAGCAGCAGGGCAGAAGATGGAGGGGACGTGCTCCTGACACACTCAGTGTGTCCCTAAATAATTAAAGCCACAGGCTGTGTCTTTCTGAGGGGCAGGCCCATTGTCCTGGCTTGAACCCTCAGGCTGCTCACAGATCCTGCAAAGCTTTGGGCTTAAGATGCTGGGAAGCATTCTTTATGGGTTGGATTGTGTCTATCAAAAGAGATGCTGAAGTTTTAACCCCAGACTTCAGAATATGGTTGTATTTTGGAACAGGGTATTTAAAAGGTCATCAAATTCAAATGAGGCCTTTAGTCTAGGCTTTATCCAATGATTGGTGTTCTATAAAAAAGGGAAAATTTGAACTGGCATGCACGTGTGGACACGTGGACACACAGACAGACACACACACACTCAGCAGAGAATGCTAGGTGAAGACGCAGCTATGCACCGCTATGCACTGACCATGTAATGCACAGGAGGCGGGACACGCCACGTGCTGACCTCCCCACTGTCCTTCCCAACTTTCCCTCAAGGCTTGTGTTCTAATGTACTTGGTGCAGAGAACCTTAGATTTCATGTTCTGGAGGTGGAGATGCAGACAGGAGATGAACACCTATAAATTAACAAAAGTCAAGCAATACCAACAAACTACCAGAAGTTCAGGGGGAACGTGCAACACGGGGACCCCACGGCTTGCAGAAGAAATCAACCCTGCTGAAACCTCAATCTTGTATTTCTGGCTCCAGAACTGAGACAATGAATCTGTTAAGCCGCCCAGCCTGCAGCACCGGTGGCAGCCCTAGCAAACGAACACACCATGCCTTACTTCTAATCTGCCAGTTTCTAGACTTACAGAGGACTTGGGTCCCAAAGGCATGCAGGTCCCAAAGGGGTGAGGCTGAGGCAGAGGGAGAAGCCAGGGGACTAGAAGGGGTGAGTCCCCTAGCCAGGCCCTGCACTGGAAGGTGAGAGTGTTCTGGGCCTGGATTTCCCACCTTAGTTCCAGGGTTCTCTCCACCCGCCCATGAGTGTCAAAATCATGTATGGAGCTGAGCTTTCAAAAAGGGCCAAGATTCTTTCAGTTGGACTGGAAACGTGAGAACACGGCCAGCAGGCACCACCCACCATCCAGGGAGCTGCCTCTCAGGTTGCGGGGTCCGCAGCCACTGCACGGGGGGGTTCCTCATCTCCAGGACTGTTAGAAACGACTAATGGTGAAGTTAGAATTAATCCGAATGTTTTCTTTCTTGAAACTCTAATTTCCTTGAAATCACTGGAAATACCACAAGATAGCACAGCACCAAGGTTGAAAAAACCCAAAACATGAAATCTAAGGTTCTCTGCACCAAGTTCACTAGAACACAAGCCTTGAGGGAAAGTCAGGAAGGACAGTGGGGAGGTCAGCACGTGGCGTGTCTCGCCTCCTGACATCTGGTTTGGAGCTCACCACCGTTAGTGAGGTCAGGGATTTTCAGGTTTCAAACTGAAAATTCAATTTGTGTCCTTAGCAAAGATCCTGTTTAGTGTATCACAAATAAATGGCTAAATTCCCAAGCCACTGCTGAAAAGGAGCCCGGGTAAAAGACAGGCCAAGAGACACAGGATGGCAAAGGCAGACAGCTACCTTAAATCCACTCTTTTCCTCTTGAGCCTGAACTTTGAATGTGTGTTTTAAGATCAATAAAATTAGAGTATATATATTTTTTTCTCATCTAAAACATTGTGTTCAATGTCCATCACTGTTTATATTTTAAAAATGCAAAATTTTCAGTGTAAGGCTAAGGTTGACATTAATACAACAGTGCCACCCAGTGACTGTTCAGGTCAAACAAAAATGTCACTACAATTCCCCATTTAAATATTTGTGTATTTTCAGTATGTCTGTGGCCCCAACCATTCATATAAAATTATACACAATACTAGTTAAAAAATATATAAAAGCATTAGACATTTTTACCTACCCACTCAAAATTAAGTACAGTTAAGGTGTCAAAGGCTAATATAACACTTGCAAATAAAGGGCTTTGCTTATCAAATGTCACCTGTGATGCTGTGAAGCCAGTGCTGCGGCTGACAGGAGGGCACATCACTGTCTCCTCTAGTGCGAAATGCTAGACAGCCATAAATCTATGACAGTCCTTTGCTTTCACAAATGTTCACCTATACCTCACAACGCAGTTTCAAGGAGTTCATCTAATGCCCCTAGTAAAAAATGTGTTCATAATTTCACTTCAGACCACTATTCATGGTTAACCATTATTTTTAAGGCTTTAATAAATATCATTCATGATTGCTATAAGTGAGTCTAGTGAAGGCATTGAAGATGCCACCAAGGAATTTACAAATCAATCAATAACGTGATATGGTCAAAATACTCCTATGACCTCAGATAGCATTACAAAACCCCACTCTTTAGAATCATAGTTCAACTTTTCAATTTTAAGTCTGTACAAACAGAAATACTTTGTCATCCTTTATTTATTTATTTATTTACAGGAAATATAAGCACAAGCAGGAGGGAGGGGAGTAAAAGAACCAACATGTACAACAGAATCTCTTTGAAGCTACGACTATAACTTTCTCCTGTTAGATGCACCACATTTAAACCCACACACCTGCAATTCCAGCAACTCTGGAGGCTGAAACAGAAGGATCACAGGTCCTTGGTCAGCCTCAGCAACTTAGTGAGATCCTATTTCAAAATTAAAAAATAAAAAAAAAAAAGCTGGGAATGTAGCTCAGTGGTTGAGCGCCCTGGGGTTCAATCCCCAATAGCAAAATAAGTAAATAAAAATAAAGAGTAGTAGTTCAGTTCAGCAACACTGACTAGATACCCAGGATGTACCAGGTACAGTGTTAGACACTAGGCAATCAAAGGTCATTAAGAACTAGCCTGTGCAGTAGTGGAGACAGACACAAACCTATCATTTCAGTGTAATATAAACTTTTTTTCGGTACTGGGTAACCCAGGGGTGCTTTACCACTGAGTGTATCCCTAGTCCTTTTTATTTTTGATAAAGAGTCTCACAAAGTTTTCCTGGCTGGCCTGGAAATTGTAATCCTCCTTCCTCAGTCCGCAGAGTTGCTGGGATTACAGGAATGTGCCACCACACGGACTAGACTCCTATGCAAAAAATCTACCTCAGACCTCTCCTTGTTACATGCATCTGAACACAGCCAGGGGCATGCTTCGCAGGCATCCTGAGCTAGTCTGATAAAGCTAAATCATCAGTCACCTCCCAAATGAGTTTGCCTCAAGGAACCTAAGTCAGAAGATGGTACCCATTAGTCTAGGCATTGAATCCACCTAGTGTCTAGGACTGAGGCTGAGCTGTGGATAAAGGGTAGCAAAGAGTGGTCCCTGTCTCCACCAAGGCTTTTTATGTCTTGGTATTCCTATTCCTACATTAGACCAATTTAATCCAGTTTTCATCTTTAGTGATCTGCTAAAAACAAAGCAGAAACACTGTTTGGAGCCTGTCACTTAGGGATGGGACTTGAGTGAAGTGCTGATTATTCAGGAATGCCACCTGCACTGACATCCCATTTGCAGGTTGCCGAGGTCTCACCCAGTATTGGAGCCAGATTTAAAATTAGGTAGTCAGTGTAGTTAGGTAAATCGGGTCTAATATCGAGTGAAATCTAAAATGGAGGCCATGTTGAGAATGAATTTCCAGAAAAGCTGAGCAACTCTCTGAATGTTAAAGAAGCCCAGGAAACAGCCCCAACAGATTTGAAGACAGCCCATCCCAAAGAAATGTTAATGAAGCCCAGGAAACAGCCCCCAACGGATTTGGAGATAGCCCATCCCAAAGAAATGTTAATGAACAGCAAACTTGACACGCAAACGCCCAGATTACTTCTTTGGCCCACCTGTGTCCCAACCCTTCCCACCTACATTCCATCACCAAAAAATAAAAAGGGGAACACATTCGGCCTTCAATGGATTCCACCTCTTGGGTCCCCTTCTTCCCCCCTTTCTGCTGTCCTTGGTCGGAGTGCTTCTCTGGTGTTATTCTTCAACATTGGGGAAGCAAGGACTCATCACTGGTCAACAGCGATAACAGTATCACCTGTCACTCAAGGGTCTGCTCAGCCTTTAAAGGTTTGTCATGAGTCCTTAAAGTACAATCTGTCCAGTGGTGAGAGAGGTGTGTTGAARTCTCCCATGATTATTGTATGGTGGTCTATTAGACTCTTGAACTTGAGAAGAGTTTGCTTGATGAACAYAGCTGCACCATTGTTTGGGGCATATATATTTATGATTGTTATGTCTTGTTGGTGTATGGTTCCCTTGAGCAGTATGTAGTGTCCCTCTTTATCCCTTTTGATTAACTTTGGCTTGAAATCTATTTTATTTGATATGAGTATGGACACTCCTGCTTGTTTCCRAAGTCCATATGAGTGATATGATTTTTCCCAACCTTTCACCTTCAGTCTATGTATGTCTTTTCCTATCAAATGCATCTCCTGTAGGCAGCATATTGTTGGGTCTTGTTTTGTGATCCATTCTACTAGCCTGTGTCTCTTAATTAGTGAGTTTAAGCCATTAACATTTAGGGTTATTATTGAGATATGGDTTGTTCTTCCAGCCATATTTGTTTATCTGGAAGGAAATATGGATTTCACATTAGAAAAGGAATAGGCACTGCAGATACCAATGTGTGTTAAGTGCTTAAAAAATATTTTTTAGATTACTCCGATGACCTTCTAATAGAGTTGAAGAGGTTGGAAAGGGGATCAGTTTGTAAGAAATCAAATAAAAAACTGAGGACTTGTTAAAAATCAAGGACAGAACTGAAATTGGAGACTGAGCTTGGTATGCAGACTTAGGGTTAGGGCTTGATAGGGACCCAAGTCAACAGTCTTAGACACAGGCAGTTCAGATGCTGATAAATCACACAGTCCAAACTGAAAAGGGAAGTAATGTTAGGAGACCTGACAGGGAAGATGGAAGTGAATATACACTGGAATGAGGTATAAAGGAGCAGAAAAATAGAATGCTGAGAAAAAAACAGATGTTCCCAATTTACAAAGGCTCCACTTGTGAGKTTAGACTTCACAATGTTGCAAAAATATTTTCATTCAATAGAAACCACACCTTGAATTAGATTTGTTCCCAGGGCAGCAATATGTTACACAGCACTCTTTTCCATGCAGGAGAGGCAGCAAGCTTCAGCTATCAGCCACAGGATCTGGTGGGAAGAATGGCATCACACTATGTTGCTTAGGCTAGGTGTGTGGACCACACTTCCCACTTAACATGTTTATGAGGGAGTGAACCCATTGTAAGCTGAGTATAATCCTGGTACTGGAATTTAATTTTTGGCAGTGTCTTTAAGGTGATGACAAAACTTGAGAATTCTGTTGCTTCACCCTTCACCTCACAGACCATGTAAGCATATTTTAAAAAGTCGTATTCATCCTTGTAAATAAGATCATTTGAATAAACTTTTTCATAGGTAACTTTAATACTAATACAACTCATATTTACGGTAACATTATTCTCATTCAACTCTGGACACCATGCCTTTCCTGCTAATGCTGCACAGGGTAGCCAGATCAAAGTTCTACTGGTGTGGAAACCTCAGTAAAACTGCTTTTTCCTCTAATAATAGGCCCATACGTCTTCAGCTGAAAGATCACAACTTGTACTGAATGTATATTTCCACACTTGCCCTCATAAAAATAGATTTTGGGGGGGACTCCTTCTTTGAAGAATGTAACTCACCCAGCAGGTGAAGCTGTGACAGTTTAGAGGAGGGAGAACAGAGCCTGTTGGAGATGAACAGGGGATCTGTCAGAAAATGGGGCTCCACTAGGCCACAGGCCCTCACTGCACCTGGGTCTGCCACGCTCGGAATCACTAATTTGGATCCACTGTAATTTGGATCCACTGCATCTGAACTCTTCACACCTGAACCCCCTGACGTTTGGGCCCACTCTACCTGAGGCCCTGCACTCSGGCCGCTGCTCTTGGATCCCTGCATCTGGGCCTGCCACACTTGAGCACTCCTGTTTCTGGACCCGCTGCTTCAGGACTCCGTGAACTAGAGCCCACCAGACCCGAGAGCTCCTGCACTTGGACCCGCTGCTCCCAGACCCCGGCGCTGGGCCTGCTACACCTGAGCGTTCCTGTACCTGGACTCGCTGCACCAGGACCCGCTGCTCCCGGACCCCTGTGCTGGGCCGGCTACACCTGAGCGTTCCTGTACCTGGGCTCGCTGCACCGGGACCCGCTGCTCCCGGACCCCGGTGCTGGGCCTGCTACACCTGAGCGTTCCTGTACCTGGGCTCGCTGCTCCCGGACCCCGGCGCTGGGCCTGCTACACCTGAGCGTTCCTGTACCTGGGCTCGCTGCACCGGGACCCACTGCTCCCGGACCCCGGCGCTGGGCCTGCTAC